CCTAAGCCCTAAACACCTAAACCCTGAACCCTTGAACCATCAAGTAAACCATGAAACCCTGGCAGGCCGGCTGTCTCCGCCCACTGAGGGCAGCTCTGGTGGTTCCTGCCCCTTCAGCAGTTGGGCTCAGTTTCTGTTTTTAGGGGTTTAGGGTTGTAGGGTTTAGGGTTTAGGGTTGTAGGGTTTAGGGTTTAGGGTTTTAGGGTCCGGTGTTGGGTTTTTGGGTAATTCCCCAGCACAGCAACTGTCCTTAAAGGGACTTGTTCAAAGGGGCCTTTATGGTTCCTATTGCTTCCAGTCCTAACTGTCATTGTACGCGGGAATGACCTAAGATCTAAGATATCAGTACATGGTGTCTAATGGAACCACCTAAAGCGTAGATGTGGATGATAAAGAGGTATTTTTGGAAGTTAGGATGTGATGCATTGATTTCATTTGCGGGTGGTGGTGGTGGAGGCAGTCGTAGAGTCAGTGGTGCTGGGAGTAGTTCCCTTGAAACCTAAACCCTACAACTTCCTTACTACGCCCTCTTCAAAGCCAGGGTCAAATAAGGCCTACCTAGGCTTTATTTTGTGTTCATCTGGATTGGGGAGTGGAGGGCGATGTAGTATGAGTTTCATAAGTTTAAGGTTTAGGGCTCACATATATGCTAATCAAACTCTCATGGGCGAATAGCCTTGATCTAGCAGACGCAAATGGCCTAGGGTTAGCTCATAACCGTACTAGAATTCGCTTGCACCCCTGCAACCTGCTGTGCGCAGCCATACTGTGAACCCCCTATGCACCCTCCTATAACCCAATCCCCCCAATGGAGCCCAAAATCCCAAATCCTCAACCCCTAACCTTACACCCTAGACCTCAAGTCATAAACCATAGCTCTAAACCCATAACCTTAACACCCTAGGCCCTAAGCCTACATTCAGCGCCTTGAACGGTCAAGATCAGCTGCCCCAAGGCGGTGTGTTCGGCAGCCGCCGGCCGTGAGATGTTTCGCATTTTCCTTTGCAGTTTTAAGTAGGTAGGAAAGCGCTCAAGTTGTAAACAGACCCTATCCCACATAACCCGTCAGACTTGTTCTCAGATTGCGCAGGTGTTTCATTGTAATATCTTCCCCTATGAATGCCGCCCCCAATAGTGAACATGTTTCCTGGAGGAACTACTTTATGCAAACCCTGTCAGAGGATGTTTAATTGCGCAGGCGGTCTTGTTATCGTGGAGAACGAAGGGGTTGTTAGAACCGCTACCTCATGTGGGTGTTGGCGACCCAGGGTTTGCTCTTTAGTAATAAGCTGGCTTTTAGAGATTAAATTGGCAAAAGTCGAACAACAAACGGTTTCGAGCACCGGGAATGATTTCGTCATTGTCGGGTTGGCGGAGGCGTGATGGGCTTCTTTCGGGGGCAGGAGATGAACCTAAACCCTAAACCGGAACCGCGACTTCATGTAAGTGTTGGAGGTGTAGGGTTCAACCTGTGGTACAAATCCAGTTTTCATTTGTGTCAAAGAAGGCAGCCGGATAGATTTATAGGGATTAGGGTTTACGTGTTAGGGTTGAGGGTTTTCTCGAAGCCCAAGTGACTGTGAGGACTTGAGCTTCACAGCATGGTTTGATTCTGTCCACACTGCTCCACAGCGTGAGCTATAGTCTAAACTCCTTAGATGGGGTTCTATAGGAAATTATGTAGGGTTTATGGTTTAGGGTTTTATTCCCTTGAAGAGGGTTATATAAGCGGGATTATATAGGGGACTACTATAGGGTCTATTAGGGGGGATGCTAGGAGTGTAGACTATAGCTCACATCAAGTTGACTTAGGTTAGTTCGCAACATGTTGTCTTGATTCCTTGTAACAAGGACTAGATTATGTATATAGATGGGGCCCGAACCTTGATGAGCACTTAACCTAAACCCTAATCCCTCCTCCCTAAGCCCCTAGCCCCTCTATTTTAGTTGCAAAGGTACCAACCTAAACCCTAAGCCTTAAATACCCTGTACACCTCAAACTTTAACTTTGGCAGATATTTGCACAAATCACTGCTAGCCGGGTCGGCTTCTTTTTTAAAAGCCTGACCCTGTGCCATGGCAAAGCCTGCGAAAAGCCTGGGCCGAAGTTCTCGACTTTGCAGTCTTTGTAGAAGAGAAACTTCTAGCCCCCCTTAAGTAGGTAGAATATGGGGTATATGCGGATCTTATCATAAAATACCCAAAGCCATATTCTATCTGCTTAAGGTATGTAGGTTAGAAACTTAAATTTCATAACCCCCCCTGTCTCATGTAATGGTGCCTTAAAAAACTACTGTTTTTGACGGTTCCTGTTACGAGTATTACGACTATTACCCTATTACTGGTGTAGGGATTAGGGTTTAGGCCTTAGGGTTTAGGGTTTGAGTTGTTGCGCTCGTGATTTCAGGCTTAGGGCTTAGAGTCTTGGAGTTTAGGATTTAGGGCTTCGGGTACAGGGTTTGGGGTTTGCGGGTTTAGGGCTTAGACTTAGGTTTTAGGATTTAGGGTGCAAGAGTCTGAGGTTAAGTACAGCGAGCATGATCTCTGGGAGTTTCCTCAAAGCAGTCCTTATATCAGACGAGTATGATCTTTTGCATGGGCTTACGTGTGCTTCGCACTCCAAGCCTGAACCCAACACCCTTCACCCCAAACACGTTGAACGGATAGGCCCGGAAACGACTTCCCTTAATGATGGTGCGTTTACAAGACGCAACACATCTTCCAGAATTACCGAATCTCAAGTGTAGGCCCCCCCAAAATGGATTCCAAATTTCAAGACTTCCGTATTGCCCGAATGTCGCAGTGTCAGAACTTCGCAGTGGCAGACATGCCTACAACTGGCAGCTCGCAACGGCTCCAAAAGTCCGACGTGTGTGTTGCGCTTAGGCTTACGGGTGGCTAGTTGTGAATTGGGAATATTGGGGATATATGGGGATAATGGAAAATAAAATGGAAACTACTATAGTGGAGAATCAAATGGAAAAGAAAATGGAAAATGAAATGGAAACTGGGATTATTATAAAGGGAATATAGGAATATGATCCCTAGAAATACCTATATAGGCGCTGAGGCATTTGCCTTGTGGACGGGGCATAGGCGCTTGCTTTTGGGATTCTGGGGTGGTTGGTGTGGAGGTTGCAGATGATTTGGTCTACTGTTTAGCGAATTGTGTGAGTGCCTTGCCAAGTGTGTAGACCCGCAGCAGGTAGTATGTCCACTGCCGGCCTGGTTTCAATATGCAACCTAGAAGGTATTGTGATGTAGGCCGCAATGTAAGCTTCATGATCCCTATGCAAGCACTAGATTTCGAAGCCCCTGGACCTGTCATGCTCCTCGGCCCTGAATCCTAAACCCTAAGCCCTAAACCCCTAAACCCTAAAGCCTTCAAAGCCTGAACCCTCCCAACCACAAAAACTTTGCTCGTTGCCTGCTCTCTTGTGAGACCCAACGATCCTCAAGCGCCTGCATGAGCGGTCATATTCTAAAGTGTAACAGATGCGTAGTGATTAGATGAGTTGAGGAGCACTCAAAGTCAGAGCTAGCGACGCAGACATTTTTGTACAGCACATGTAGTAGCTTAGTAGCTGAGTGGAGAACACTTAACTTTAGGGGTGTGTATATAATGCTACTATAAGTTTTGGGTTAGGAAGCTCAGCAACTAGGATAGTTGCCCAATTCCGGAAGCAAAATTCTGCCCATGGAGCCACGGTCCCCTCTCTCTGTCTTCTGGGGCGAGGAGCGGCTGCGCTCAGGACCTGTCTTAGGGTTAAGGGTTTAGGGCGTTACATGGGGGGATAATGGAAAAGAATATGGAAACTATTATTTAGAGTTGAAAGGCAAAAAAGGGACATATGGTGTCGTGTCCCGTGTCAACAGCCCCCCCATCCCCCCCCCCACACCCCCCCCATGGTAAGGTCCCGTAACCGCCAGCCTCAGACTCTCAAAGCGTGAGCAGTCACAGGAATGGTGGGTGTCCAGGTCGCGATCCTCGTAACTGTCCTCATTTTGGAGGCCTCGAGGTGCCATTCTCGTAACTGTCGTCGTTTTT